TGATTACAGAGCAAGTAAACTTTTGAAAAACGATAGTCATGCTACATTAAAGGCATTGAAAGTTCCCCGACTTTCCACAAATTTAGGAGTATAAATTCCTGGTTAAGCAACCAAACTCCATATGTTAATTTCATATGGTTATCCAGAATACACAGTTTGTTTTGGTCATGTTCATGTCTGACAGCAGGCATTTACAGTTCAACTGTCAGAGAAGGTTTGACTTTGGAGGGAAGCAGGGTGTTACACCCAGCACTATCCATCCAATATACAGTATCAGTGTCAAACTCAACCTTATTCGTCATCTCAGAAAGCCCTTGACAAGTTCTTTGTTCAGCCAGCAGTGGCTTGTTATGCTCCACCAAGGGCAATGAAGTGGGAATATTCTCTAATATGGTGTGCACCAATGTGGAGCTGACCAGACAGGATGCAAGCAGTGACAGAAGTTTGGATGTGTCTGTTTGGTGGGATATCATCAGTCCCTCCTCATGTGGGTTTGTCTGGACTCTGGTGTGAGGAATCAATGAGACTTTGGTAAAGGATTACAGGCTTCAGGAAACTTGGTAGATCTTTATCCAACAAGGAACACAGAGGACTGAAACTGTAGCCCCACACCGCTGATCAAGCTAAAGGTGCGAGCCAGTTTGCTTTTGAGTGGGGACAGTATTTCACACTGAGAAGTTGTAGACCGGCACTAAGCAGGCTTAGGAGAGCACCCTCTTTGCAGTAATGACACTTGTAGGCTTGAATGTCAAGGACAAGAGGGCTTCAAAGAGCTAAACTCTCGAGACCTTTAGGAAAGTGTTTGTGAAAAAGGCACAAATGTTTTAAGACTGTAAGGACAGCCAAGACTGCACTGAGGAACATAAATAAACCTATTGTTCAGTTGAGTTTGCTAAGCAAAGGAAATGGCTTAGCTGGTGGAACAATCATGTGTATGTCCAAGATTTTAAAACATTGCAGAACAGCAAGATTTTGTCCCTCCCTGCTCGCCTTATTCAAAACATTTGCATTCCATTTTAAAAGCTCATATAAAAGGAAAACATTCAATTCAGCATGCTTTAATTCCCATAATGGGACATGGCTCTTACTGGCAAAGAGCACATCTGTTTAAGAAAATACAAACAATTAGGAAAGACGATGAAGACAAAAAAAAGAAAAGATCTTCCACTTCCTCAAGAGAGATAAGAAGTGCAACGCCAGCAAGTGCCTCTCTGTTACTGCGGCCCAATGACCTGCTAATCAGCAGACAATATAAACAGATGTCTTCCATACATTTAGTGCTCTTCCCTTCATTAATCCATCTTTCAATCCCGCCGTCTTATCCGTATTGTGTATTAACATGGTGCTAAGCTGGACCATGAGACTCTTATCCAGTGTTTGTGTGAGAAAAGAGGATAAGGCTCAGGAATGACGGCTAATACTAATGCTTCATCTAATGCTCACAAAGAGGGCTATTTATCCTGTGCACTCTTTATGCTAAACATGCCAGGCCTTTATGCACTTATGCAGTGGGTGCGAGGAGTTTGTGTAAATTTAGTATTAGCGCCTTGACTCGTCAAAGCAGAAGGGAGGAGATTTGTGGGACTTTCTCATAGGTTCTTGCTGTATCTACAATATCCGTACCTTCCCCCTCCTCTGGCACTTGTCATTTGGCGCTTTGCTCCTGACACCCACTCCCAGGGTGCCCCGCTGTGTGTTGCCGTGGTGACCAGGTGTGCCGAGGCTGCAGGTGGAGGCTCATTTAGGCGCATTAGGCCTTGACACGCGCCATAGGAAGAGTAATCATGCTTTACCTGCCTCTAGTACTAGTGCATACACAGCACAAAGAGCTCGACTCCCTCTCCATCACATACTCACACACACAAAGGTGGGATCACACTTACACTATCGCACACCTGGGACACATTTACGAGCTGATGGATCTCCAAAGGGAAAGTGAAAGGCAGGGAAGCTCTGTCGCACGTGAGTGTGTGTATGTGTATGGGGGTCAAGGTTTTCCACACCTCAAAGCCTGTAGAATTGAGTGAATGGCGCCAGCATGGGTTTTAAAGAGCTGAGGGGTGATGGGGCTCGGGAGGGTTAGTTAAAGGGTCCTGGCCTCTCAGGGATCACACTTACACTATCGCACACCTGGGACACATTTACGAGCTGATGGATCTCCAAAGGGAAAGTGAAAGGCAGGGAAGCTCTGTCGCACGTGAGTGTGTGTATGTGTATGGGGGTCAAGGTTTTCCACACCTCAAAGCCTGTAGAATTGAGTGAATGGCGCCAGCATGGGTTTTAAAGAGCTGAGGGGTGATGGGGCTCGGGAGGGTTAGTTAAAGGGTCCTGGCCTCTCATAATCCCCTCTGGTGAGGAGTGTACACCACATCTATGATCCACAAAGTACACTGAGCCCTTTATTCACTCATAGGACTATATCAAACATTTTTCTCAGTCTAGACAAAATGGGTTTCAAATGACACACCCAAAAAAAAAAAACATTTCATTAAAACAGGGGTCTACAAGAAAGTTAAAATATTTCATGATATCTCTTATTCTGTTATTGTGAGGGGGGAAGCAATGGCATTCGCAAATTATGAAGCATTAGGTAGTTTAAAAGAATTTTAAAACAAGTTCACCTGTTCTATAAGCCAGTTTTAGCAATCATGTGCTACTACAACACATTTTTCATTTAATAAAAATCTAATTAATTGCCAGAGGCATGTCTGTGAAATATCTCTCAAGAAAGAATTTCTTCCTGGTCAGTGAGATGGGGAGAGAGCCTCCCACTCCTTCCAGAATTCATTCAATCATCAACTTTCTCCACTCCACAGTTCACTGCTACCCTGGTGATCCCCCATGCAGAGAGAATGGACCAACTAAGAGGCCCCTTTGACTTCTCATGCCGTTTTTGAACCCCTCTGTTTCAATGTCTGCCTTCTCCACCTGACCTCTGACCCCCCCCACCCTTTCACCCCACACCCTCCGCTCCAGCCACCCGGAACACCCCTCTTTCACTTTTGTTCTTTCTTGCATTGCTCCTTCAATTTGTCACTCCCCCACATTATAACTCTCTATTTTCCCTTCATGTCACTATTTTTCTTGGTCTTCCTTAATTTTTGCCCCTTTTTATTTGTTCTATAAATCAGTTAGATGAGTGCTTAAAGACAGAATTTTCAACTTGTCCTTTTTTTCA